AGCATGCAGTCAAACAAAAAGAGCACAAATTCACCAGAAGGAACACTCCAGGCCACTTCAGAGAATAATCCGCTGCATCTGGCATATTTGTTGCTTTAGTCTTGTAGAGCTGTAATATTACACACACATACAACCAATACTACTTAGTAAATATTACGGACTAGATGTGCAGCAGGTTCACTTTAACCTAAATATCACCTGGTGTAACCTTGTGTCTTTGCCTTTTTTTAAAAAGTATACTTTCAACATCCAGAATTTACAAACTGCACTTGTATACACATGCACCCCTCAGCTTTTACTGCTCTGAACCTTTGTATCCTACTCAGAACTGTTCCTGAATTGTGAAGAAGCAGTAACTTAGTACCAGCAGCTATTCCCCTGTATGGTTAGTCAGTTGGGGCAGTCATCACACCCAGTTATTTCCCAGCAACAAAATCTGAAAATCTTGTGAGTCTTGCTACAATAATTTAAGTGTCCATCACTCAGAGATGCTTGCTCAAGCCCTCTGCTAAAGTTTCTCAGCTCATGACCAGAAATGCACCCCAGCTTCTTCACTGCCAATACTCACATGTAATGTATTAAATGACCTGTTCAAAACTCTAGTGTCTGACACTGAAAATGCCAAAAACAGACCATAAGAAATGACGTATCAGTAACATCTTCAGCTTCCACGAAGATTTATCAGCACTCATCCATTAGCATCCTTAAATTATGAAGGACAGGGAAGTGGTGAATCTGTGCAAGAAAAACTTCCGGTGCCTGATGAGGGTTTGCCCACACAGATTTGACAGTGTGGCAGCAAGCACTAGAACCTCTGCTGTACCTACACAAGCTTACACGCTGCGTATCAAACAAGTCCTTCCAAAAGCTCTGTTACTCTTCTGTACATTCAGCAGCATACTCCAGCCTTGAGGACTAATTACCTGTGGTGAACCTTTGTTCCCTGCAGCCAAACATGCACCAGCATCTGTTTTAGTCATGTACTTGTGACACCTGTGTATCACTACTTCGCATAGTCAAAGGTACAGACAAAAAATAAGGAATATTTCATACAAACAACTTCAGAATACAATCCATGCCAAGAAAGTTAGCTGTTCCTGCAAGTAGTAGATATTGAAGAGTTTTCACCAACACCCTTCTGGTTTTGAGGGCAGCAATGATTTGTTTAATTGCAGCACCATAAGAATCACAAGCAACTAATTCTCTTCTCCCTTTTTTTTGTAAGCCGGATGAAACTTATTCTACCCTCAGGGAACACGAGACCCCAGACACATCAAAAACACACAATGTCAAAGGAGGACAAGCAAAGTTAAGAAGTGGAAAATCCATTGGGGAAGTCTATGGTTGAGCTGTACATGACCTTCCCAGTCTGTCAAGCATGTTGGAGTGCTCTTGGAACAGAGTGGGCAACCAGACCTATGCTAGTGTACATCACCATACTCCCAACATTTGGAAACGACTTGTCCATTTGACAAACTCTTGCCAACCAAAGTTAACTGAAGAGACTGATCCTAGGAGATTCCTTTGCATCTCCTCCTGGAAATTGTGAATGCAGAGGTTCATGGTCATCACATATTATACAGTCAGTAGTGGATTCAGCCTCAACAACAGTATAAGCAGAACTAAAGATAGAAAGCATGAAGGAGAGAAAACTGCACAATAAACTGTTACACACCAGCTCCCCTGGCAACATACACTCTTCTGTGGGCTTATGAATATGTGGCAAACCAGCCAACTTGCTGCCAGGCCTCCCAGCACTACAGGAAATGACTGAAGCATTCCAATCCAGCTTTCGACAAAACAAATGACACTAACACTTTCCCTCTGTCCTTTACCACATTATTTAGGGACAACTTAACACACTTTTTGGTGTCCTCATTTGAGCCAAGATACTTGAAACTCCACATAACACCAGCTCAACAGGAGCAGCTCCAACCAACAAGGAGGTATGCCACATCCAAAAACACAGCTATCAAGAATCTGGTGGTTTCTCTTTCAGGGTCATTTGGTGAGGAGATTCCTCCACTCGCAGCACACTGATGTGGCCAAACACACTCCAAGTACCCAGCTGCTTCCAGGTGCAGAAGCTCCTACAATTATCTTACCACAGAGAAGCAACAGTGACAACGCAGGTGTTGTGCTTTTTACACTCCTGATACCTGCAATGGCCAGCCAGGAAATGTCTCCCATCTCTGAGGAAGAACTGGCTGAGAGGATGAAGAGATCTGGGGAGCAACTGTAGCTGCCCCACCTCACTGAAAATAAACTCTCCTATGTAAACACAGAGCTGAGGAAACCAGGAGACCCAAAAGATCTGTTGCACACAGTCACTGAACCTTATGTTCTCAAACTCAGACACTATGTTTTCAAAACTACCCAAACTCAGGTGCTACATACTGCAGGACAGCAACAGTAATTCTTTCCAGAGAAAAGGACTTAACACCAGCACTGCTGGCTGGGTAGGCTCAGGGCCTGCAGTCTGTCGGGAGCAACCACGGAAGTAACTGTGCCAGCCTAGATGCTTTTCCTCCATCCTCTCTCCTTCCTCTCCTGCACATCCCCTTCCACAGTCCTACCTGTATCCCCTCCTCTAGGGCAGGCTCTGGCACTCCTCACTTGAGCTTGCTGACGCACATTGCAGACCACAGCCTAGGCTTTTCTGGGAGTTAAAGTTAGCTAAACAGAGAAGCTTACTCAGCATTACAGGAAAGACCACTTCAGCTGCTGGAGCACACAACTGAGAGAGCATGTACATTCTTCTGGTGGACGGCACATCCTCAAACTCTCAGGTATGTGAGGAGGGACTGTGTGCTGC